ACGCATTAAGTAAAAAAATCACAGACATGGCATCGGGTGTAGTCCATTTTAGTCCAAAAATCTGTAGTCATGATCAGTGATTGAGCTGTAAATTTAGGGGCAATTTCCAGTCTGACTTGTGCCAGCCTCCAGTCTGCATGTTTGCATGTGTTTGTATCTACACACCGTAGATGCAAGAAAATCGTTATTGGGCAGTCTGCATAAGCAAACAGCTGCTTGTGTATTCCTTGGGATGGGTTTTCCGTATTGGGTTCATTGTTACAATTTGACACAGTCTTAATAGGAAGCTGAAGAAACAGGTCTGTCGCTTGCATCTTATGTGTATGTGTGTTTTGAAGAACTGATGCTACAGTGGTGCCTGATTCCACTGCCACCCTGTGCTTTTATGAATAACACTCATGCTTGATTCATCCCAAACCATTTTAAAGATGTTTTTTAAAAGGATCTCTTGTTGGAGAGAGTGAAATTGCTAATACTTCTGCCAAAACCTAGGTAGCTTTAGTGACCTCAGAAACATCATGAGGGTTACAGAAATTAATCCCTAAAACTACTTTTTAGTCTCACCTGTGCCTGGCAAGGGAACACGGGGCTGGTGCATGTTATGGGTTGCACATTTTGATCATGGGCAACGTGCCAGTTCCTGTTTCCTTCCAGGTGTGCAGAACTTCAAGAACAGGTTGGCTACCAGGACTTGAAGTGTTAAAAATCAATAGCACTTTATTATATGTAGACTGGATTCAGTAAGGCAAAATGAATCAACAGATTTGCCTTCATCAGATGTTGTAAGTAACATTTACACTTATCTCTCTCCTTTCATGTGTTAAAAATAGTCTTGCTCCTGAATAATGGTCTCTGCTGTGACACAGCAATCTGTCCTAACTATGCTTTGCCAAGGAACAAAATATGACCCAAATTGCCTATGGCCCATCAGTCAGGACAGATTTTTGGTTTACAGTAAACTGTAAAAAATTCCTTGTAGCTGTTGCATAACAGATTAGAACAGACAGGGTGGGTTTACCAGTGTTTTCCCTAATCTTCCTGTTTCACCCAGCAACAAATAAGTGGTTGTTGATTTCTAATGGCAGAATCATCAAAACACTCCAGCTGACCGTGCTTTGCTTCGCACTGCAGAGCAATCTCAGAGTGCACAAGCTGGTTTACTTGAGAGGTAATGAAACTGAAAGATGTGCATTAGCAGTCTGTCTGCTATGCTCCAGGGGACCAAACTAGTCTAAAGAACGCCAAAATATATACAGCATGGGCATGGAGTTCTTAGAATTGCTTCCTTCTGGAGATCCAGTCCTGCTGTGCTTCCCTGCTTGCTCATGCAGACGTAGCACTGGCGCACTTGAAAGCCCCTGGGAGATCTTACCTGGACCAGTGAGTAAAGAGCCCACAAAGAAAGCATGGAATGTTCACCCAACGCAAGGAGTGGTTTCACAGTTTCTAAACACAGCAGTTAAAAATAATACCTGAAGTTTGATAAAATGGTGAGATTGGCTTAAAATAATGATATTAAGGTGCATTTGGGATTCATTCTGAAAAAATATCATGCATTATTGAGTTTCAAAGCTGAGTTTCTTCTCTGAAGCTGTCAAAGCTTTTTAGGGGGATTAGATAATATTTCTAAGGCTTTCTCGTCAACTCTGAATATGAGGAATTTATTTTTTAAAAAAAAAAAAAAAGAAGATGAGGTTCTGAAATAATCACAGAGCTTCAGAATTTAAGACCTGTAAATACTAGGATATTCACAGCAAAACTGCAAGAATTGCTAATACTGAAATCCCTTCTGGTTTTAGCAAGGATCAATGTTCTGCTCTTGCCCTATTTAAATCTTGCTGCATATAAGTAAGAAAATTCTGTTGCCATCTTCTGTCAACATTGTTCTTTCCTAGCAATTTCCCTCTCAAAGGTTTTGTAGTATTCCGATTACCATCATTTACTTTCCTTCATTTAACTTGCACAGTTAATGGAATGATATGTACCCTACATGACTGCACAAGGAGCTATATAATTAGCAAGCCAGTTGAAACACATTTGAAAAATAAACTTTGTTGCAATCACTGATTGTCTTCAAGGGTTTTTAAAACCTCCACTGTAAGACAGACAATTTTTGTGCCTATTTCGGTTAACGTAAGAGGTCCTGTGCCAATTGCATAAATGCTGCGCTGTGGGCTTTCTAGCCCAAGTGTGCTGCTTTTTTAATAGAAACACATTTTTTGAGAGAACAGGCTTCCACGGCTAAAACACTGACTCCTCGGGATTTGGGACAGCACAGTTATCTCTCTGTTCAACCTGTATGACATGGGCCAGCCACTCTTATCAGACCACTGACTGGGATAACATTACCGCTTTTTTCTTTTTTTTCTTTAATGTATTTAAGTTTAAGGAAAGGCCAGCTGAGCAAAGCAGGACTCCTGTACTCAGTGCTACCAAATAAGCTGTTCTTCACCTGGTCACGGGGGCCAAGTGATCACAGTGCTAATGTTGGGTGCCTGAGGAGGTGTGTAGCTCTTCTGTTCCTTTGAGGCCCTCAGCCCTTACATCTCCAACAGGAAAAACAGTGCTTGTCAACAGGTCAGGTTCGTTGATTCCCAGGGTTGCAGTAGCCTGCAGAATTTTCTGTGAGTATTCAAGCCAAGTTCCAGCTATGGTTGAAGGACTTTCTAGGGCAAATAGAGACTAAATCAATACTATGAAAAAAGACAATGTAATGCTTGTAAAGCATGGAAAGTCATCCTAATTCTGTCAGTGGCCAGAATGAAATAGGACAATGATTTCGCCAGCATGCTTTCAGTGCAGCTGTTGTACTGAAAGGTAAGAGAGCAGAGCACGTTCTTATCTTTCTCCAGCTGTGTTTTGCAGATGACAGTCTGGGAGAACAAACACCTTTTTCTTATTGTCTTAAATGCTATTAGAAAACAAGACATAGTCAATATGAAGCAAAGATAAAAAATAGTAACAAAGCCCCCAAAAGGCAGGATTCCTAGGGCACTTTGCGTGGCTCTTTCTACAAAGATATGTCAAGGTATGCATTGTAGCAGTGATTCAGCAGACCTTGTACAAGAACGTTTAGCTTTCAGCTTGTGTCATCAACAGCCATGTCTTTAACACGCAACCCAGCATCCATTTTCTGTATGTTTTGCAGCCTCCCAGGCAAGACACGGGGTTTCATGTGCACCCACGCCACAACCTCCCTGCTGAAAAGGATGCAATTCTGGTGTCATGGGCAGCTGGCTGGGCAAGCCCTCCTCAAAGGACAGTCTGGACAACCACGCCTATCTGCTTAGGATGATGCATCCAGTTAAATGCTTTGCTGGATGGAGGCCTAAATGAACATATCATTATGTTTGACTATTAACTCAGGGTTGGACATGAGTTGTCTCCTCAGAGGATTTTTGAGTTACTCCTTGCAAGTTGGTACTTATGTTTCAAAAAAAACCCCAAACCTTGTCAAGTCCAAGCTTCCTTGACAACCTCAGTTCACAGAAAGCGAAATCTTCCGTACACTCTTGTACCTGAGATGCCAGTTTTCACCAATGGTTTACAAAAAGCCTTTTGGCTTTTCCTGTAGGTGGGTTATTTAGTGTCTGTGGTTAGAGGCCCCCATGCAAAGCTTAGTCGGATTAATTAATCATCCAGTGGCAGCTAGAAATCCATTCCTGAACTGATGGATCATCCAGATTCCACCATACTGAGCAGCACCCAAGGCTCACAAGCTCTCATCAATCTTAGGGACCTTTCTGAGTAGGAAAAACAAACTCAAAAAGCACAAAAACATCCATGAGAAAGGCTGAATGACAATTTCAAATGTATCCACAATTTGAAGATCAAAGGGCTGTCTGATTTTCCTTTAGTCACATCAAGGATTAATTTGGTCTAATCTGTTAAGCACAATACTTTCAGCTGCAGTTATATTTTAAGCCCTGTTTTCACGTGCTGGCAGCAAATGCGTATCTGCTTCTGTAGATAGGATTTTGATAGTAGCAGGGATTTGTGTATGCCAAGATGAATTTTGAAACAACAACCCTCTCAACATAGATACTTTGTGCAGTGTGGGCAGTGGCTAGGGTATTGCCCCAGGACCCAGGAGAGCTGACTTTAGTCTGGGCACATTGACTTGCCAAGTGACTGGAGACAAGACTATTTTCCTACTTAAAAGCTGGGATGATAGCAATTAGGAAGGATGAACGCAGAACATTGTATAATTGGTTAGGTGTTGATGTCACCATTTGTATAATGGTTAGGTGTTGGTGTCACCATTTCTAGACCAACTCCTCAGTCCATGACTGGGGCCTGTAGGCATTACAAAGCCAGTAAAGGTAACACCAAGAACATAAATTACAACAGTATTTATTGCATCGGCTGATATACACTAGACCTGTGCACAGAAGCAACGTATTTTAGCCAGTAAATGAGGAAGGAAAAGCTTTGTTTCAAGTAGTTGCGCATATTAAGGACATTATGCAGAGGATTTGATACATGTATCCTCATTTCTGGTTTTATTTTTAATTATCTGGATGACATTTTCATTAGTAACAGATAATGTCTTTAGCATCTGCCTATGGCGACACATGGGCAGAATTTCAGAGCTGTTTCTCAATTGCATTTGGATATGTCAGAGAATTTGTAAGAGCTTCATGTCTCTCCACCTGCCAGGAGAGAGTGGAGTCATGGCACTCTTCCAATGCTAAATACATTTCCTGGTAGCCAGATTCACTTTCTGTAAACCAGAGAGGACTGTCTGCATTACACCCAAGGCTGAGATCATACAGGAGATCAGCAGCAGTCTCTGCAATACTGAGCATCTCATGTGTGATTTGATAAAAGCTCAATGTTCAGAAGAAAGAGTTGAAAGTAAATATTCTAGAGAAACCTGCCAGGTGTTAGAGCAGATTCGCTGGTCTCCAGCCAGTCACCTCAGCTAGAGATTCACTAAGGAGGAGCTGGGGAAGTGAAGCGTGCTAACAAGATCTCTCGTTTCAGCTTACAAGGAGAAGATGAAGGAGCTGTCCATGCTCTCTCTGATCTGCTCCTGTTTCTACCCGGAACCTCGCAACATGAACATCTATAAATATGATGGTGAGTGACTTTGACTGGAAATCATCCTGCAGGTTGGATAATGTGCTAGTACTGGGAAATGACTCAGTTCACCATCCCAGTCCATAACAATAGTCAGTAGATATTTTACTGACTAAACAATTTATTTACTGCTTTTGGCTATTACTTTAATACTATTTGGCTAATACTTTAATACTATTGTGCATTACCCGTGATGCTGTATTGTTCCTAATAGCAACTAACTAAAGTATTGAAGTACTCTCATACTGAGCTCTACTTTTCCTGCTACCCATTTGAGAATTATAGCTCTTCACAGCTGACATAATTCCCAAGGAAACCAAGAAAAGATGAAAGCATGCTTAAAAAATTAATCAGCTTGGGCACTGCTTGCGGGGGGTGTGAAATGACACAGAACCCAAATAATCTTCCGAAACTGCTGTAAATTTTTATCTTTATGAGATTAAGGTATAATTAAGCTATTAGAGATAAAATGTACTTCTGAGAAGTTTCCAGCCCATAAGCTGCCATTGCATTTAAAATGCCCAAGGCAAAGATGCTAAATTTTTTGTCCGTACTTCTGATCCTATGCTAACGTCTGTGCTGCTCAATGCCGCTGAGATATTGAAGGGCTTGCCGTTTCTCGCTTTACTGTGCAGACATGGAAGTGAAACAAATCAACAAACGTGCCTCGGGCCAAGCCTTTGAACTGATCCTAAAGCCACCATCTCCGGTCTCGGAAGCGCCACGAACTTTAGCTTCTCCAAAGAAGAAAGAACTCTCTCTTGAGGAGATCCAGAAAAAGCTGGAGGCTGCAGAGGAGAGGAGAAAGGTATCTTTCCGTAAAAAAATGCTAGTAATTAGATGTGACTTAGTATACAGAATAACAGCCAAGTTTCCTGTCCATTTTTATGTTTTCCATTGCCATCACTGACTTGCAGTGGCCTGCATGGACGAAAATAATTTACATGTTTAAAGAAACAAATGAGGTTGTTTTCTTTCAGCACCTGGCAACAAACCTTACTAGTTTTGATGCTTGGGAAGTATATATCACAAAATATTTTTTTTTTAAATAATTCTTAAAAAGTTTGGAAGGGTTATTACACCTTCTTCACAAGGGTTAGTACAAATGCAGAAGGAAGTCCTCGTTAACTGTTTATTTGGCTTTCGTCATGACTGATGTGTTGAAGAGGTCTTTATTTGCTCTAAGTCAGAGCTAGCTCAGATTGCTCTTCTTTCTTGCAGAAGGTAAAAGGCCAAATTGCAGATCAAGTAAGTCAGAGTATGGCAGGCAAAGCCTATGAGAGACTCACCACAGCCAGTCTGAATTGCCAGCCTGAAAATTAGCAGTGTTCTGTATGGGCCTAGTGCCTATGCTGTGTCGTGCCATTTTAGGAAAGTCACAGCTGCCTGCAATGACCACAAAAGATGTGGTAATACATTGTCCTGGTTAATCCAAGTTTCCTTTTGCTATGGCACAAAAGGAGAGCCACAAAAGCCAGAGAAGTCTCAGGAGCCGTAGAAGGACTTTCTGTGTCCTTCAACCAGGTGATCAGTGTTTTTGTGGTAAATCTGCTTGCACTGGTTAAACTGGAGTTGGAAAGCCCTTCCATCTGCTCATGGAGTCCCTGGTAGAGGGTATCTGAAAATGAAACAAGCTTAGATGTCTCTAAGCCTTTCATTTATCTCTCAGACAGTGTGATTTGTTACTAAAATTGATGTTTACAGAATCTTTTCCAGATACGGACAAAAATGTATACGGAAGTCCAGGGACAGCACATATGCCACAGATAGCACACGGAGCAGCTCCAACAAGAGCAGCTCTGTTCTTCTTTCACTCCTATCAGACCAGATCAGGATTGCTTTCAAGAAACCCAGTGGAGTGGTCACACTGGCGGATGGTGAGATGTGAGTCCATTAAAGTCAGTAGGTCTGGATTACTGACAGGTCCTTAAAACCTGGCCCTCAGTTTTGACTTGCAGTAAAACCTGACTATGCTGGACCTCACTAATTTGAACAATTAATTTAGATGAACACTGAAGTATTGCCACATTTGCCATTTCTGCTGCCTTGCTAATGCAAGACTCTGTGCTTCCAATGCACACACATTAGCACTATTGCTTCTTTCAAATAAATACTTAGAATCACAGAATGGTTTGGGTTGGAAGTGACCTTAAAGATCACCCAGTTACCACCCCCCCTGCCATGAGCAAGGACACCTTACACTAGACCAGATTGCTCAAAGCCCCATCCAACTTCTGCCAGAGTATTCATTTCAGTAAAAGGAAATAACTGTATGTGAAAGGAATATACACCTGCCCAGAAGTACGAGCTTTCACACACCCGAATGATGATATGCCCCAAAGACTCAATCTGTAAAATGCCTCTGTACCGAGTACAAATACTCAAGTGTCAAGGGTTTCAGCTCAAACCAGGACATCAAGTAAAGATATGAACACAGAATGAAATGGCAGCAATTAAGAAGCCTGATATTATACATATTCTTAGTGCGAAATATAAATTGAATGTCCCAGAGATTTCATTTCATTGATTTCATTACTGTTCGTTTGCAATAAACTGGTAATCAGTGATAGCAATGCAGACACCTGCCATTTCTTCCCCTTGGTACTATATTTGTTTTCAATGAACATGTATCTCAATTATTGTAAGATAAGATCCTCCACATTAGCATTGCAGTAGAAATTGCTGGGAAAGAAACAAAGAACAGAGAAAGACCTTCATTACATCACTTTTAAAATCCCTGGTGCTCTCAGATCCCAACTATTGCCTTCATTTTTGGTCTGAAAAAAAAAAAGAGTACAGTGCACAGAAGGATAAAAGAGCAATCGAGGGAATAGCAAATCTTCCATAAGAAGATAAATTATATACTTAACTTTTCACCTTGGAAAGAGACAACAAATGAAAGATAAGATAGAAGTCTACAAAGTCATGAATGGTAATGAGAAGATGAATAGGAGTAGTGATATTCTGTTTCACACAATCCAAGGTGGAAGAAACACCCAATGAAATCATCAGACAGCAATTTCAAAACAGAGGGAAGCACCTTTTCATGTGTTGTTTAATCAAGCTATATTTGTTATCACAGACTATTTATCGATTATTAAAGTATTATTTATATCAAGAAGACAATAGCAAAATTGATAGAGCACTACCTTGTAGGAAATGGTTATATGGATGCATCCTCCAGCTTTGAAAATATGTAGCTTGGTGACTGCAGAAAGCTAGAGGTGGGGAGGGAGAGAGAGAGAGAGAGAGAGAGAGAGATCATGGAAAGGACCAGGCAGGTTTGCCCAACTTCATCTACACTCTCCCTAAGCATCTTCCACACTCTGCTGCTAGACAAACCAGGCAGGCTTTTTCTGACATTCAGTATGGCAGTTGTTATCGTACTTTTCAATCTGTGTACAACAGCTGTCAGGCATGACCATTCTAGATCATGTTCTTCCAGCACCATTCTAATTAAAATCAAGTATAACTAATGGACGAGAATTGCCTTTTCAGAAAAAAATACTAATTGATTTCACACTGTTTAGGAATTAGGTTCTGCCCTGTTAATTAGGCAGTGTTCATTAATAAATTTTCAAACTCATGAGAACATCTACAGCAATACAGGCATTTCAGCAGTCTCCTGCTTAGCTGTTTCCTGTTTATCATTATTTTTTATTCCCTTAGAAGCTTTTACAGGGCTCTCTCCTTTTCTTCCCCTTTTTCTCTACCTCACTTGACAGTCATGACCTCATACTCTCAGACCAGAGTTTCACCTGAGGCATCTTTTCATTTTTGCACCATACAGTGAGACCCATTTGGGCTAGTTACAGATTTGTCCTTTCCATTTATAGAAACCTCTTCATAGAGTGTCATTATTATCCCATTTTTTTTTTGGCATATATGTGCTATATTTTCCTACCTTGGTGGATAATCAGAGACATCTTTTCATCCTTCCCACTTAAGAAACTGGAGCACGATGGCATTGTATGCAGCAGAATTTTATTTCTTACAGAGTCTTTAACATTTATCAATTTTTACCCGTTGGCCTCGAATGTTTAGCTATTATCACCCTTGATGTACAGCCTTCAAGAGCCATATCAAATTATGTATTTCTATTGCCCATGTTCAACTTAGTAGCATAAAAATGGAACACTAAAGGGATGCACATTTCTACTAGACTTTGCATTATCGGAGAGAAATTGTCTGTAATTAAATCCTTTTAATGGCTTTGTATTGGGATGCAATGGAATCAGGCTCATCCCTAGTGCTTAGTGCTACGAAGAACGCAGGAGAACAGTCATGTTTTTTAACTTTCATGCTGTTGAGTATAGACATAGCTACGTGAGTTTTTAATACCGTTACTCTGAAATGCTGCAAGGTAACCACGCAGCCCAGGTGAGAGGAGAGGCAGAGAAGGGATTGGCACCTTCCCTGGCAGAAGTGGAGCTTGCTTTCTTCTTCCAACTTTTATTCCTGCTCCGCTCCGTGGTTTCCCACCAAACTTGTAAGCAAGCAAGCTGCAGGGGAGGACAGGCACTTGCCCATCTACTGATATTCTTTTCTGTTACTACTGGCCTTCAGCTGTGCTTGTGCAGAGAGGGAATGCAGCACAAAGTGCTTTTCCACATAAAGGTCCCAGCAATACAAGTGGAATCAGCACCAGTGCCAAGTGTTTCTGCTGCATTTTGATTTACATCAACATCTGCATACATGGAGTGTCTCCCCTAATGTATACAAAAGATAGCCAAAATAGTAAGCCACTTCACAGTTTCTCATCCAAAAAACCATAATCCTACAGACTATGTGCCTACAGGAAGATATTTGCTACCAGCTAGGAGAGAGTTTGATGTTAGGCACCAGGGTCTGTCTCAGAGTACTTGGAGTCATGAGCTGAGACAATGCTGGCAAAGCTTCTCCCCACCGTCTGCCCTGGGCTTTGCTGCTAATGAACACAAGACAAGCTGTCATTGATCTTCATTAACTTTAAAATGCCAGGCTTCACGCTGCAGCAGATCACGAAATGACTCATGAGCAGATAGGGAAGCATCAGACAGAGGGCTCAGCTGTTACCTCTTGCATCCCTCCAACATGTCTTGTTCACCCCCATAGGTCACAAGCCTGAGAGCGGTAATTTTGTGCCAGCTGAGGAAGAGAATTTTCTTGAATCACATCATGGATGTGCTCTTTTTTTTTCTTTTACCCTACTTTATGTTCTTTGCAGCCCAGACCCAAATGTTCCTTGGCAGACTGAACAAAAAAAAAAAACAAAACAACCCCACAACAAAAAAAAAAAAAAAAAAAACAAAACACCAAGATCCTCATCTAAAATCAAGGAAAGTTTTGCACCATCTAGTTTCCGTAGAAGCAGGACTTCGCCTATGGTTACAGCTCAGATGTCTCTGACTCTCCTGCCGAATGGCCATTTCACTTCTCTGCTCCATGATCCCATAGAGCAGGAGCACCTGACTCTTCTTCATGTCTCTGTCATTGCTTTGGGAGAGGAGCTGCCTCTCCCTCTCTGTTTGCACACTGCCTGGGACAGAGAGTCCTCACAACAGCCAGAACAGGTGCTAATGTAATATGAATAACAGTATTGCCAGTGAGGAATAGGATATAACCATGCAGAGACTTGAAGAAGTCAGTTCCAGGAGTGAGGTCTACCTTGAGTCCATTCCCTTGCTTTTACAAGGAGAAATCCCAGCCTCTGTTCCTTCCCCTGAAGACATCACTACTTCAAGTCACCATTTCTTTCTGATTAATACCTAGGCTTCACCTTAGCATTTACACTGAAGTAGGAGCCTTTAATCCTGTCTTTGCATTCTGCTCCATTAATAGTATCTCTTATATACACAATACACTTCCAAATACCAAGGTTAATGCAACATCTGCTGAACAACCTAATTTTAAAAATCCAGCAAATGAATGAATGTGTTATGAAAGTGGAGCTCTCGTGACCGTAGTGTGCGTCGTACATCCTAGTAACTAAGGACCCTAGTAACTAAGGTGAATGCATTCAAGCTGAAATTCCCAGTTTAAAAGCAGTTGTCTGAGCCCATTTCTTGCTTAAAAGCAAGCCTCTAATTTTATCTCTGCATGAATGACTTCAATATTTGGATGAACATGTCAAAGAAAAATGGATAAATGTGAGAAAATAAAGCACCTGTTACTCAGATAAGTAGAATTTTCTTCCTGTGAGTAATAGTTTAAAATAAAAAAAAAAAAAAGTCTTCAAAGCCAGTTTCCATAAATAATTTTGCTCATGAAGTGAGTGTTTAGTTGTCTGCATCTATCTCTGTCCAGCGAAGTATGAGATGTGGATTTCCTTTTGAAGGAAAACTGGGCGTGCACCATATGGTCCCTTAGAAATATGACATGAATATCATAGTTTTTAGCATAGCAGTACATTTCTAGGAGCAAAGGTACCTGTACCAGGAATGTTTTGCCACGTTTTTATTCCTCCACGTCTAGCATTGGATGCTGCAGCTGTAGCTGCATTGATTATGCCTTGTTATATTTAAAAAGTCTTCTGGCTGTTCCCCCTTGAGCATTGCTTTTTTCTTTCCCCACCATTTCGTACCTTTTTCTCCTTATTAATCTTGTTTATCTTTCAGCCCATTTCCAGCCTTTTTTACTCATTTTCTCACAATAGCTGTACAAGAAGCACTTACCGTAAACCATTTACAAGTGTGTTAGAACATGGACTGTCACGGATTCAAAAATATCCTTTCCAGCACTTTAAACAATCTGATGTTGAAAATAAACTTGGAATAAAAACTTCCTACTTCTCTCGGAATCCTGTATCAAGACTGTGGGCGTCCAAATGCAGCAGTTAAAAGCCAACGCAAACAACAAAGGGAGTCTATTAATCCTAGCCCCACTAGGTATCTGGGGTCATTCATTTACCCATTTCTGGATGTGTAGTAGACTTTGAACAGACAGGGTGGCCAAGTTGTTTTGCCAAATGTGTTGGAAACAGAAAATTGTTTGACAATCCAGTACAAAAACATACTGACCGCCTTCCAAAATTGTCATAAGGGGATTTCGAAAATGGTCTGAACACCAGAGAAACAGGCAGACGAAACAGCTGGGGTCCAGCAGCATTAGAAGGGGGGCCTCAGTCTAAACGAGAATCTACCCCGTGAATGTTTTGTGGCAGGGAGGGGGGTCCCTTTATTTTGAACCAGTCCTGGGTACCTTGAACATTTTGAGTGAGGAAAAGGAATGCCATTTTATCATAAAGCAAAATCGCATTAGGGGTGTGCAGTCAGTTCCTAAGGCTTGGTTTAGCTTTCATTCAGATTCTTACTGGTGCCAACACAATTTGCATCCAGTAAGTACTGAATTAGAGCATGAGGATTTTCTTCATTATCACACATTAGTGGACAAATTACTTTTGAATGTGTTGTCTGCCAGCGTAGCCTCCAGAACTGTGTGTACTTTGATATGGAACTCTAATTTTTCACTGTTCTCCTGGATTTATGGTAATAAGAAGTACTTTCAGAAGGCAGAGGTTTGAATGGAAGAAAATAAATCCTGAAAAATGGGCAAGTGCCCCAAAGTCTCAAAGGCATTTTGCTGCCTCCCGTTGAAAGCCAATGCTGTTTTCAAAAATGTTGCTTATAGGCACAGTCCAAATCTTACTTTTTATTATAGCATCTCCACGAGCCCTGGATATGTCCTTGGAAATGTCTGTTTCCAAATCTGAAAAGGTTTGATTTTATGTCACATCATATATACATACTTAAACACTATGAAATGTTAGCCTTTCAAATTAACAAGGCCCTTCTTAAACACTTCATGGGAAAGGACATTATAGTTAGTGTCATAGTACCTTTTCCATTCAATAGATTCTTAGATTATTAAAGTTACTTTTAGATCACTTAAGCAAAGGGTTCACAAAATTCGTATCGGCAACCAAAACTTAATGATGATAACTTCTCCAAAAGTAAATGAAAGGTTGCCATTGAATACTAAATTAAACAGAAAATGCAGAATGACTTCACAAGCACTGGTCAAGCTGAAGCACTCAAGTTGGTCCAAAAATGGTAAAGCAAGATGAAGATGTTCAAGTATTTCAGTTTTACATTGCACCAAATCTTGCAAAATAACTTTTTTTACTTTTTGAAATAGCCTACAGTTAAAGAGAGATGTTAAATGCTAAGTATCTGAAATCAAATATTTTGCTTCGAAATAACCTATTTGTAATATATGATTATTAAAATTATTGAGGTTCCTGTTAAACTTATGGGGCTTTTATGATTTTCAGTTAGCCTACAGAATTCCTTCTTTGCCCAGCTCTTCTTCCCTTTGGCTCGTTCTCCTTCCATTCTCTACCAGTGAAACCCCCTCTGCTTTTGTGCACCTGTCTGGGGACTTCTTGTTCCCATTTGCAACATCTTTTGTCCTGCCCAAGAGTTATTTTCTCTGAGTCAAAGATCTGAAAAATGCTTCTCTATCAACTCACTGTTAGGCATATGCTATAATGGAGGGAAGAGCCTTTGTAAGGTGCCAGCCATTTCAGCAGACCATTCCCTCAGCGAGTGCTCCAGGGACCAGTTTGAGAAATGAGCCCTTCACTGCAACCTGGCCAGAGGTGAACACAAGCACGTTAAGTGTCCAAGGTGGACAAAAGTAGCTCTTTCCTCTGATCTCAAGCAAGCCATTACAGCCTTTCAAAGCCCGATATGTTTTACTCTGGTGCCTTGCTGTAAGATGTTCTGCATGGCTTTTGCAGCCTTTTCTAGAATCTGCTTAATTTGCCTCGTCAGTGCATTTGGCTTTATGTGTATCTTACCTTTGTTAAAATATTTGCTTTCTCCTCCTAGTTGGATCTCACTCATGTGAACGAATTGCAGCCTTTTTCAGTCCATTTAAAGCCACATGATAGAATTTAATAGGATTCATTACTGCTAATTGTAATTATTGGTTAAAGCCCTTAATTTAGGCCTTAAAGTGACTCATTTTTACGAATAACAATGGCAGCAGTGCATTGTGAGCTGCACTGAAATAAGCACTTAGCTTCCCAGAGCCATATTTCATTCCCTGTTTTCTGTTTGCTTCTCGTGCTCCCTCTAATTTATTTTATCCAAAAGCGTACAGTGTTGTTTATCATTTCCACATAACCCCTCTGAAACATATTGTCTTTTCGGCTAGACTTGCCTGGAGGGTGGGCCCAATGCTGCAAGTTCTTTGGCTTCTCTCCTAGGATTAGTGGTTTCATGTCAGTAATTTGATTTAAAATAAATAACAAAGCTTATGCTTCTGAGCAATGAGTTTACAAAGAAGAATAACATAGTATTGCACATAGGCTGCATCTGTTCAATTCCTACCTGCAGTTTTTATCTTGCTTGCAAAATTTGAGCTTCTGACTTAACAAAAAAATAGCTTTTTTTTGTTATTTTCTGTAGAATAAAACCCTTTTTTCCTTTCCTAATCAGCAAGACGAAGCCAAACATAAATATCATGGGGAAAAAAAACATCATGTGAATTGATTCTCTCTGTCTTTCACAACAGTAAACTTCAAAGACAGTTATTAACTATTCAAGCACAGTAAAGGATAGTCCAACCTGGGTGAAAAATGCACCTCTCCTGTGTTGGCAGCCTCCCTTTTGACACTGTACATACCTTCAGCCTCCGATTCCCTATCTCCATAAATAAAATGCTCATATCTAAAAGACTGCAGCTGTCAGAGGTTGAGCAACCACTGCAGTAACCCAGACAACCCAGGGCAGCAAGACATGACAGCATTTCTTGTTAACAGAAGTGCTTCAGGCACTTCTCTGCTGCTACCTCGGACACGTACCCCACGTTTAGCCAGTGCCTCTAAGACCCTGTTATTGAAGCTAATCTGGTTTGTACACAAAAGTGGTTTTCCCAAACAGGGCGTGTAACAACAAAGCAATGAACTTTCTACAGTTTCCAAACTCAGTGAACTGTTGCCCTATGGCGGTTGCTTTACTCCACATGAGTATTTTATTTCAGCTGCATATCTCTCTGTTTCCAGTCCCAGGAGGCCCAGGTGCTGAAACATCTGGCAGAGAAGAGAGAACATGAGCGAGAAGTGCTTCAAAAAGCTTTGGAGGAGAACAATAACTTCAGCAAAATGGCAGAGGAAAAGCTGATACTGAAAATGGAACAGATCAAAGAAAACCGTGAAGCTAATTTAGCTGCTCTTATTGAACGTCTCCAAGAGAAGGTAACCACACCATCACTCCTCACCTTAGACTAGGGAGGAAAATCTAATCAACATTTTGAAGAGATGTTGTTGTAGGTAGCTCTTATCTCAGTTGCTACAGTTGAGCAGTTTTTGAGTGAGAACCCCTGGTGCCTATCTAAACCACCACTCACTTTTGAAAAAGACAATCACAGAATGGTTGAGTCTGGAAGGGACCTCTGGAGCTCATCTGGTCCAACCCCCCTGCTCAAGCAGGGCCATCTGGAGCCAATTGCCCAGGGCCATGTCCAGGTGGCTTTTGAGTTTAAGGAGTCTCCAAGGACGGAGACTCCACCACCTCCCTGGGCAACCTGTGCCAGTGCTCGGTCACCCTCACAGGGAAAAGGTGTTTCCTGATGTTCGGAGGGAACCTCCTGTGTTTCAGTGTGTGCCCATTGCCTCTGATCCTGTCATGGGCACCACTGAAAAGAGCCCGGCTCTGCATCCTTCATTCAGGTATTCATGCACATTGATGAGATCCCCCTGAGCCTTCTCTACTCCAGGCTCAACAGTCCCAGCTCTCTCAGCCTTTCCTCAAAGGAGAGACTGACAGGTGCTCCAGTTCCTTAATCTTCATGGTCCTTTGCTGGACTCTTCCCAGAGAGAGATTGATTTTCTAGCTTTTAAGAAGTGCTGTGAACAACTGAAAGGTCAATTGTGTTTAGATTTTGGCTTTTAAGAAAAGTCATTGATCAAATCAGTTGTCCTGTGTCTGTAGTTCTTGGTTTCTCAAAGGAGAAGAATGAAAAAATATGGGGAAAAAACCCTTTCTATACATCAATATTTCTAACATCTTCCATAAGTCTTGCAACTAAAAGACAGTAAATTTTCTTTGGAGGTCTTTGGTGCAGCCAGAGGATGCAGGTAAATCACAAATCCCACCATGCAGGACCAAGTGTGCCCTTCTCCAAAACAACCCTTCCTCACAAGAGAGGGAAACATGCGAATAAAGATTTAGGAAAAAATTAGTTCTGTGTGAGTGATCAGTTGTTTCTCTCGATGAACTTTCTAATATGTTAGTAAATTGACTAACAGAAAGGAAATAGCTCTCAGTGGTTTTCAATGAGATCTCCATAACCAACTGTGCTTCTTTGATGGAGACAAAAGCCTCAGAGATAGGAAAGAAACAGAAACCACAGGATGATGTTACAAGTAACTATGCAAGTGGGAAAATTCTTGAGCTTAAGAACTGTACCCAGATTACTTGACATTTTTGGAGGAGATTAGTTTGCAGGCACATCTGCCAAAGTTTATGAAAACAAAGGGAAAAGCCAATTAGCCGTCCTTGAGGTCCAAAAGGAAATGGGAAGGACAGCTGAAGCATCTCTCTGTCCTAGGTTAATGTTAGCAGACTGTTACACCCTGTTTCCACATGGCATATGTGCATGAAATCCAAAGAAGGCTTCTGAATAAAGAAGACCGTAACTCATTTAGGAACATTTGTACAGACCAGTAGTTAAAAATTGCACGACTATACAGTTCTGCCAACACAAAAGCAAACCTGAATATGGAGAAAAAGAAGAGGTGAGGTGTCTGGGTCCAAATTTTTAAAAGTTACACCGAACTGTGGATGCCCCAAGGTCTTGGTGTCTAAAAGGTCCTGCAATCAAAGATAACTTCTGTATACTGCAGCTAATAGGAGCTCCAAGGAGCAAGTGCCTTATAAAATCTAGCATTCAGAATTATGGATCTTTTAAGAACTGTGATTTACAGGTTGAGTTGATGCAATAAGCTGTCTTGGCCTGTGATCCATAGTCCAACTGAGACAATAAAAAGGTAACTGTTGACTTCTGTGACCTCTAATGCATGGAAATACCTAGGGGGTGCCTTAAACCGAAGTCAGCTAGGGATGGATGTTTGCTTCTGTAGTCACCTTGTGCTTGTCATTTGGTTGTCTGGGTTTTTTTTTTTCAGTGATCAGACACGAGAGGTAAAAGTCTGATAGTCTGACAGTTGAAAGGAGAGAGGCATAAACCAAAAACCCTAAACCCAGAAGCTGCCAAAAATACTAGTTTTATAAACACCTCAGGTAGAACATTCCTAAATTCATTTGACAGCCGTTGTTACGCACCACAGGCCCATTTCCACAGAAGTATATGAATATACAGTGGCTCAAATAAGTCTAAATTAATTATGACTGCATAAGGGAGGACAACATGGCTGAAAGTGGGCAGAAAGGCCTAGCATTGACTTTTGGTAACCATGTCCCTTCTCCATCACAGCCAGAGAAGGAATAGAGAGGATAGCTAGCTTCGTCATTCTGTCTGGGGGGGGGTTGAGATGCTCAGGTTGACCCATCTTGGTGGAACTAAATTCTTGGACCTTTATTTAAGGGTCCTACATGCTACAGATAACATGGTAACTAACGCTTCTTCTGCACACAGTGTGCAAGCAGTTGATTCAATCCCACTTGTCCATCCCTGTATTTAGTTTAACATCTAAGAATTCAGAGGGTAAATGCGAGCACGTGGCATATTTTATGCTGCAAGCAGCACCTGTCTGTGTGGGCCTTTAAAATGAAACTGTGTGAGGTGCTGAGGATTATAAGGCGATATCAGATAAAAGACTGAGCTCCAGAGCATAAGCATCGACCATGCCTCAGGCTCTTCTGGTAGATGACACTTGTCCTGAGTTACATCCTTTAAAGATAGTTGTGCTGTGAAACAAGTTTTGCACAAGCATCAAATGCACAACCTCTAAATGCGGTGTCATCAGGAGCCTCCCTGGGCAGGCGGAATGAGAAAGAGGTTTGATTTTTCCCTTCTTGATGTTTTCCAGGAGAGGCATGCTGCAGAGGTCCGTAGAAACAAGGAGCTCCAGGTGGAACTGTCTGGCTGAAAACAGCGATGGTGGATGTGACCCATCCCCACCATTAGTGAACTCCCCCTGCCTATATTATTATGGATCATGCGATATCAGTATGGGAAATGTATGACATGGTTTAAAAAAAATAAAAATCAAGAACTCAATAAAAAACTTTAAAAAAGAAACAAAATAAAAACAAAAACAATGCGGTCTGTTTGCAGAATGATTTGCTTGATGTTTAAAAAACTTGGATCTTATTTTGTAAATACTTACATTTTTGTTAAAAAATACAAGTATTGCATTATGCAAGTTATTTCATAATCTTACATGTCCTGTAACAGGCTTCTGATGTTGTCTATTTCCACTCGGTTGAATTTGCTGGGTCTGTTAATTTGAAGCACTTCACGTCTGATTCCATTCCCTGCAACTTTCATACCAACCCACCATGAGGTCAGTAGTAGTTCTATGGTGCTAGAGACCAGTCATTGCCTAATAACCTAGACTGCTTTGCCATCGATAAGCTTTGTTGAAACAGTGACTAGATCACAGGTATCGTGATTTCGCATTCAGCTGTCCAAGACAAAAGGCTCTTAAAATGTAGTTTCTTCAAATGCAACTTGCACTACAGAATTCTGTAGCGTGCTATATAATTGAGGTTAAATCGCTAAGGGCAGTACTTATTGCTTCTGCTTTTGAGCAGAAAGGCAACAAATACAGCTGTGCAACAGAAGTGGGATCAGTTTGAGGCAAATTCAAGAGGCACATTGTAACCATCAAGCTGTGACAAATTCTGGATGATGCCACACAGCCATACAGACGCTAATTGTCAAGTGAGCTTAATTCACCACTTGAAAATTTATTGATGGAGCAACTAATAGATAGCATCAAGTGGCTTTATCTGTAGGTGCCATGATCTATGATACTTATCTGATGCTACCACATTACATGTGTAATAGTACAAGAGGCTACCAAATATTTCACCTGGAACCCGTGAGCCAGTTGTTAACCTTTTTTTTTTTACACTGCTGACTTCCATCCATCATGACCTTTACTCTTCAGTGTTAGCCAACCTTACCTAGTGACAGACATCTAGGACTAAGAGGGCTGAAGCAGGAGGAATGACTAGACAGGGTGCTTGTGCCAAGTATCACCAAACCTAACACATCATCCCCAAAATAGCTGCAGTTTTGAAGTTGTCCCTACCCCCCTGGAGGTTGCTGCCTGCATATTCTACTCTTCATTAGTGCTATTTTCCTGTATGTCATTGTGAGCAAGCTGTGATTAATAAAGAATTGGGGTTCTGTGAACTGAAAAAGGGCTTGTCTCTTCTCTCGCTCCATTACTTCTCTGACATAGGCCCATGTGAGGTGAAAACCTAATGTAGTCATAAAAGCAGGGAAGTGAGACTTAAATAAGATCTATTAATAAACCAAGCCTGTTTCTCTGCTAATACAGGACTAACTCCTGCTATGTGACTAACTCCTGCTATGTGTTTTCTAGTGCTTAGGCTGGTTGTTTTTAAATGTTACCATATAAACTAAGCCTATAAATGTGACCTCAAGCACTGAGTTTATTAAAAAAGAGAACTAGCTACACACACATGCACAGGCACTCCTTAATCTGGACTCAATATTTGGAAAAAAAAGAAATCTGGGGAAAGAAAAGTGAATAATGCAATTCTGAGTACATACATGAATATCTGTAGCAAGACTCTGGCTGTTAACACACTGATTTCCAGGGTGCAAGGGGTTCATTTACAGGATTTATTGAAAAACACAAAATTGCTAGGGAAGCTGCTGAGCTGCAGAGCTGAGATATAAAATTGGATTGAGCCCCATTTAGAACTAGATAGGTGATTGAGAATTATCTCTAGGATTAGTTTTCTGATTTAAAGTCATGAAAGTGGCATCATTTACCTGCTCTTCCAGAAACATGGGCTGACAACTCCAGATCTGCAACAGTCGGTTTCTGACCCATGCAGCCTATTTTATTTCAGAGCCAAGTTATGTCCCTGGGAGACTTGGCCCACAGTCAAAATGCAGCAGAAGCTGATCCAGGTGCAAGGCTGCAAGCTCAGTTCTTTGTGCAATGAGCTCTGTACCACAGAATGAAAGAAGGACTCCAACTTGTTATGGCAGTTGGGTTTCCTTGTCTAAATTCCATGCCTTTCTGGAAAAAGTACCAGAAGTAAACCTGGCAGAGAAGACAAATAGCAGACTTTGAATCTAGATGTCATGAGCTTCAGTGTTGCCAAGCGTTCAAAGTATATATATTGCTTTAAGCCCCAGTAAAAAAAAAAAAAAAAAAAAAAAAAGGTCGTTCTGTCGAGCTTATATTTCCATTTGAAGTCCCGGATCTTGGTTTGAGAGCTCCTGGATTTTGGTTTCATTTCTCAACGACAAATCACTTGCAGTTTTCCCTCTCCATTGACTTCATAAGCTCTGGTCGTGCTTCAAGCCCTTTTCCTGTTTGTTCTGCTGACTACAATTGCTCAGAGAACAGGCCAAGGACAAATCACTGGTGCTGAGACCAAGCAGGGCAGCCTGCCTTGCCTCCATGGGACTTAAGCTCTCTTCCCCCACAAACAAGGGTGTCCACATCCAAAGTGCCCATTGCAATGGGCATATGCCTGGCATATGCTCACCCCTGCACAGAGCTGGGCATTGCCTGGGAAAGGCTTCTCAGCAGGTACCAAGTCTGCAGCAGGGAAATGAGTGAAGAACAAGGCAGTATGAGCACTGCAGACCCGTGTCAGAGCCCATGCTCTGCTCCTGTTCGCTTGGATCTTTTAACAGTTGTGGGTCTAGAGTTCATTTTGTTAAGGTGTAACTATATTTTGAAAGCCTGTTTGCAAATGCACTGCATATTTAACCTATAATAACAAAAAATAAGTATCTGGAGAGGTACAACATGGCTGTTTCCTTATATTACTCCTCTTTCCTTATATTATTTCCTTATATTTTTCTTTAGTACTGCCTTCCTAGGCTTCTCCCTGCTTTTGCTGGCAAAAGTGTATTGGTGCCATGGGTCTCTCATGTGGAGTTAGAGATTAAGGATCTCCTTGAAAAGTAATAAAATATTCAAAACATCTATTTTTAAAGTATTACATTTCTGGCTACTTGAAATATCTCGGTTTATTTATTAATTCAACGGCAAGCAAGTGCTCAGGACCTTTAAGTTAAAAAATTAAGGCCACTTCTCTGATTAACTGTAGATCCCCAGCTACATGCTGTGAGCAGCTGATGCTGAAATGCAGAGCATTTTCCATGGGCTGCCTGAAACCTCCCGCAGGACAGAAGGGAGCCTGGAGCACTGGTGGTGTACCACACAGATGTTCACTCCTCTCATTGAGATGGTGGCTCAACAGCAAGGCAGAGCTGGGCAGCACATTGAGAAAGGCACTTCTGACCCATGACCCCTGCAGGTCCCAGGACTGCTCCTCTGAGGGTGAGTAGGGCTCAGTTTCCTATTAGTTAATCCAGTGGTTATGTCAAGGCTGCCATGAGGAGATTGCCTGAGTAGTCAAACAGGAAAAATTCAAAGCCCGTCACACTTCACGTGTTCCTACTGAAGCCACAAAATTTATGCGCAAACCATTTCCAAAGTCAAGTGGCTTGGATGTAGGGTTTAAACCCACCACGGATCCAGAACTTGAAAAAGATGCCTTTTTTTCCGTTTGTTATCATGCTTCTTGTCTCATGGAGGTGGTTTTTTTGAATGGCTGGAACAAAATCCTAACCCTTCCATAGCCAAGTAGCAATGTGGGTCTGTTCCTTCACTGCAGAATCTCCAAACATGTCACTGATGTACAGCAACATCCTACGCACCCAGGCACAGAGGTGTCTGCCTTTCAGATGTGATCCGTGTAGGAAAGAGCTTTACTCACAGCACCTTAAACCATACAGAGAAGATAATTACTTCTCTCTCATCTCCCAGAAGGAGAGGGACGTGGTTTAAAACCTTTAGGGCAGCAAAAACACATTCTTTCTCATCCAGCTGTTGCCAGATCCCATCATGTCAAGTCAAAACCCCCTCACTAGCTCTTTGGTGGAGAGAGGAGAGGATTGCATGGGAAGAGGCAGGTCCTATTGCCATCTTGCAGCACATGCCCCATTCTGAGCGTGTTTCAGCGGTGGAAGGAGGCAGTTGTTCACTCAACAGAAGGGATATCGTGAGGGGGGCAATAGGAGGATTTTAGATAATCTTTCCCATGCTTCAGGGCTTGTGCCACAGTGATGCTGGTGCAATAGTGCCATGCAGTGGCCAGTCTTAATAATGGGGATCATCTTTACACCAGGGATTGCAAGGATTTCCTCCGAAGGATGTCCTTTAGTCTGCTGCACAGCTTACACTAGGTCTTTATATAAGGTGGATGGTGGATCTGAATTCTGAAGACCAAGCCCAGACATTTTCAGATTTAACTCCACTGTAACATGAGTAGCATGACCACGGGGGGCTGTAAAACCAAAAAGGGCTGGTATTTTTGTGTGGAATAAAGAGTAGCCAGAATTACAACCGTTGCAACACCACCGTCAGAAACTCTCACTTTTTCTATTCAAATGTCCACAAAGACCACAGGAATGTATATCATTGATAATTTTCTTAGGGAAACATTCACCACCTTCAAGTTTACAATGTGATGCCAGCCTTCCTTTCTTGGGGTGGCAGTATATAGCTACTGGAAAGTGTCTTCCTACTGTTACAGGTTGGCTTTGGTCAAATGGGTCCCAGAAGAGGAAGCTTCTGGGCAGCTCCCAAAGATGGAAGACAAGAAAGGCATTATCCATGATACATCCCAGGCTTGTGGGATATAAGGAAACAGCTGAGCTACAGCTTATATTTCTTTTAGCTATTATAATTTCAACAGATTTTTAAACAAACCTTGGAAAATAAGTACACCATCATAAAATAAATTTTAAAAAACATTAACTCTTAAAATATGCACTTCGCCAAAGAGTTTTTCAGATAGTAATTTCCATAGGCTCTCAGTTCACAAAAAAATCCCCATGTACAATTGCTTGTGACCAGAAGAGGGCAAGCTCTGATTATTTAACAGGCAACTACAGATGGAAAGTTTTACTCAGAAAATCCTGTCAAGCTGTGCTTTATCCTGAAATCCTACTTTAGAGCATCGTAGAGATTGGTGTTCTATATTTGCCCTAAAATCTGGATTTGGGTTTATATGCAACATAAAAGTTAGTACTTTTTCTTTGGGCAAAATTCGTTACTTTGGCTAGATTTCCTTAAGAATACAGCAGTGGGCAGGCATTGTGTAAGCTAAAGGATAAGGTAGCCATATGAATAAACAGGTTAAAATTCACTGTTCCGTTAGTCTGGAGTTTTGGATGTGGTTTCTAACCCCCAGGGAGTCTGAACCAGCCCTCCTGAGTGCAAGATGGAAGCAGAAGAACCTCATACTCTTCAGCTGGATTTCAAGCAGGCTAGGAAAGGGTGATGCTCGCAGCAGAAGCGACCAGACTCAAGAGCTGGGACATCCCTTCCTGCACTGTTTTACACTTACACGTTTGCAAATGATGGAAAAATCTGGTGGAGCGCTGTGGCATGTGAACAGCTCTCAATGAATCATGAACCGGTTACTCAGATTGTAGATTATCCCTGACGTAGGTATTAGATCGGGAGCAGCACTGGATAAATGTCCATCTTCTCCCTCCAGGGATGGGTTTGGAAGCAGCACAGCTGCTTGCTCGTCAAACACAGGCTGTGCCTGAGTTAACAGTTTCTGTTAGACCTTTAGCTATCCCCATGAAGGGCCAGCTCAGTTTTTCTTGTGCCATGCTCCTAGGACGCCCTACCAATGCCAAAGGGAGCCTGACTCAACCCAGCCTGGTGTGTCACCTTGGGTGCCTGCCCGTGCAGCCACAGCCTGCAGCAGAGCTCAAGGGGAAGGAGAAGACATCCCCAGGAGGTGCAGGGATGGGAGACAGCAGAAAATTGGCAACAGCACCCAAGCGTGGGGAGGACAAGAGCAAAGTTTGGTGTGCCGCTCCTGCTTTGAGTCCCCCTGCCATCCCTGGAACCCCAGGAATGTTTCTGTGGGAAGGTGTGCTGTGAGAGGCATTGCAGGGCAAACTGGGAGCTACACTCTGGAGCCATCCAAGGTGCTTTCCAGCACTGACAGATTGCAGTCAGTAAAGTTAGTATTTTTCTATGAAAGGATTCATGGTGACTTTTAAAGGCAGGCAGGCATCTCTGTTCCCTCAGGAGGCTACCTCATCAGCAAACCAAGCTGGAATTTACAACATTGAAATTAGAGAGATTCTTTCTGATTATTTCCCACTATTTTTATAGTTATCC